CAGGATTTCTTATGAAGATTGCTGAAGGTATGCATGGGGTGCCTCTCGGGCTGCCAGCAGGAGCAACCCTACTTCACATCATCCGCGGCCGTAAAGTCAGGGGTTAAATGGGGTTCGAAGAACAGCTGAGGGGCTTCGTAGACACCCCAAACCCCAGCTCCTGATTCCTGAACCCCCCAACCCTGAACCCTTCCACCACAAACTCATAAGAAAACAAGTGTGCAGCCCAGAGCCCGAGACGCCCCAAAGCCTGAAAGCACTGGAGAACCCCTCCCTAACCTGCCTGAGACTGCGTGCCAATTGCCTTGCCAGAATGTCTGTACCCTCACCCTAAACCCTAAACCCTCAACCCTAAACCCTCAACCCGCAACTCTCAACCCTCAACCAATATATCCTCGAAGGTGGCGGTGTTTGAGGAGGACCGCCGGCATGCGCTTGCAGCTGCTCAACCCCCCCCCCAACGCCCGCGCTCCACAACACCCCCGAGAGCCCACCTCCGCCCCCCCAACGCAGCGACCTTAAGAAACCACCAACCTACATTGTTGTGGGATATGACCATAAGACCCCTTATTGGATTCTTGGGCCTACCCAAAAAAATTCTCTTACGCCAAGCCCTCAGAGCCCTCTAGTCGAGAATGCTCGATTTCGTCTTCGTTGCCGCCTCAGCCATAGGCCCCTAAACCCAAGGCATCCGTTAAGGGCTTTAGGGTGTAGGGGGTTTGGCTAAACCCTCAAAAAGCGCTGAACTCTACAAACCCCAAATCCCCTAACCCTAAACCCAAAACCTCAAAAGCTCTCAAAAAGCCTTGAACTCTACAAACCCCAAATCCCCTAGCCCTAAACCCTAAACCCTAAACCCTAAACCCCAAATCCCCTGGCAGGATGGCACCGTGCGCTTCTGGGAGCCGTTCCCCGCGCCTGTTTTAGGGTTTAGGGTTTGGGGTTTAGGGTTTAGAGCTTAGGGTTTAGGGTTTAGGGTTTAGGGTTTAGGGTTGAGGGTTTAGGGTTTAGGGCTTGGGGTTTAGGGCTTGGGCTTGGGGCTAAGGGCTTAGGGTTTGAAGGTTTAGGGTTTGGACTGGGGGCTTAGGGTTTAGGGCTGAGGGCTTAGGGTTTAGGGTTTAGGGCTTAGGGTTTAAGGTTTAGGGTTTTTGTCTGGAGGCTCAGGGTTTGGGTTTAGGGCTTAAGGTTTAGGGCTTAGGGTTTAGGGTTTACGGCTGCGGGGTGTGTGTTTGGAGGGAGGTGTCGAGGGCTTTCAGGGCTTTGGGCTGGACACCCTGAGCCCCAATTAAGGGGGGATCCACGGGGTACCCCTAAACCCAAAGCCCTCAACCCTAAACCCTAAACCCTTAACAAAAGGAGCAATCTCATCTGACTCGGAGAACCTGCTCAAGAATTTGGAGAACTCATCACCACCCCCTGATGTAGGGTCTCATGTAGCCCGTGTCTTGGCTTCACTGTGTTGTCTTTGTTAAGGACCGGGTGCCTTATGGGGTTTAGGGCTTGCAGAGTAGGATTTCTGGAGATTAAACCCTAAACCCAAAGCCCTAAGCCTTAAACCCTAAAGGGTTCAGGGCTTTTTGGTTCAAGGCTTCCTGCTTAGTGCTTGGGATCCTGCTGCCGCTTACCACGCGTCGCCAGGTCTTGTGCCTCTAAGCCCTCAACCGGTTTTAGGGTGCAGGGTTTGGGGTTTAGGGTTTGGGGGTCAGGTTTGGGTGTTTAGGGTTTAGGGTTTAGGGTTTAGGGTTTAGGGTTTAGGGTTTAGGGTTTCGGGTTTGGGGCTATATTGAACAAGCAGTGTCAATCATTGCTGTTGTAGCGGACTATGACAAGCCACTTGCGGTGGCTCAGGGTCGTTAAGTCCTTGGGGGTTGGGGGCTCAGGGTTTAGGGTTTAGGGTTTTTTGTTGGAACCTCCAACACTCATGCTTCTTTTCCAAGGCGCCGGGCTGCAACTACCGCAGAGACCAACGCAGAGGCCGATGGCTGGCCCGCGCAGTGGACAGCGGCGTTGGTTATACCGCTATGGAAGCACAAAGGGCCCAAGTCTGACAAAGGCACATGGCGAGGCGTTGCGCTGCTCAGCGTCGGAGGAAAAGTGCTCGCCAGAATCGTAGCCGCCCGCTTGCAACTCTTCTCCGGGAGCATTCATATGGATGAGACACAGCAAGGCTTCCGGCGGAACCGGGGCGTGGATGACGTCCTCCAGGTCAGTCGGCGCATCGCAGAGGAAGTCAGCTTCGCAAGCGCGGAAGCGAGCCAGTGATTCTCACGTTTTTCGACATGGAGAAGGCATAGCCCCGTGTGAACCGGGACGCTCTGTGGGAGCTCATGAAACGGAGGGCGGTTGAGGAAATCCTCACCCTACGCATAGTCCCAAGAGGTTAGGCTTCAGGGTATTTGCCATGACCCAAGCCCTTCGCTTACCCTAGGCCCAGAACCCTCACCCCTAAACCCACACCACAAATCCTGAACCCTCAGCCCGAGACCCACACCGCAAACCCGAAACCCTCAACCCTAAACCCACACCTTAAATCCCAAACCCGAACCCCTGAAGAAACGGCTGAGGTTCCTCGGAACAGGATCCATGCATCTGCGACGGAGGTTTGCGTGCTTTCGGCTGCACACGCTGTTGCCCAGGGTGTAGGGTTTAGAACTTAGGGTGTAGGGTTTAGGGACCTGGGTTAATGGGCAACCTAGTCTTAAGGTTTCCGCAGCTCGCCCAGGGTTTCGGGTGAAGGGTTGTTTTCTAGGGTCGCTCATACCTATTGGTTTCTGCCCGACGCCTTCTGGCCTCGTGTTTTTTGCAGGGTTTGTCTCAGGCTTTCCCATGCTTTTGTAGGGTTTTGGGCTTAAGGTTTTCTAACCCAACCTCCTTGCTTCAGGGTTTCTATCTCTCCCTTTTTCGGGTTATTTGGTGTTTTTTATCCCCCCCCTGCCCCCCCCGCCCCCGCCCCCCGCTGCCCCCCTGCCCTGCCCGCCCCCCGCTGCCCCCCTGCCCTGCCCGCCCCCTGCCCCCCCCTTCCCCCCTCCTCCCTCCGCCTCCCTTCCCCCCTTTGCCCCTCCTCCCCAAAGTGCGCGGCAGCTGGTAAAGCCCTGAAACCCCAAACCCCAGACCCCACAGCCCAGACCCTAGACCCCAAACCCCAAACTCCAAACCCCAGACCCCAAACCCCAAACTCCAAACTCCAAACCCCAAACCCCAAACCCCAAACCCAAAACCAAACCCAAGGTCTACCATTCTGGACTCTACTCGCCTCCCAAACACAACAAGCGAGGTTCTACGCCCCCATCTGCGGTTTAGGAAAAGCTTCCCCTGAACCCCAAACCAAACCAAGGGGTATCCGGGCAACTCTTTGCTCCCCCCCCAGGCATCCCCAGTACCTCGTGCCCGGAAAGCGGCACGGCCGCATGCGGTTTAGGGTTTGGGGTTTCGGGTTTGGGGTTTTGAGTTTCGGGTTTGGGGTTTAGGGTTTGGGGTTTCGGGTTTGGGGTTTAGGGTTTGGGGTTTGGGGTTTAGGGCTACGGGTTTGGGGTTTAGGGTTCAGCGTTTAGGGTTTGGGGTTTAGGGTTTGGGGTTTGGGGTTTAGGGTTTGGGGTTTAGGGTTTGGGGTTTGGTTTGGTGTTTGGGGTTTAGGGTTTAGCGTTTATTGTTTGGGGTTTCGGGTTTGGGGTTTAGGGTTTGGGGTTTTGGGTTTGGGGTTTAGGCTAAGGGTGTGGGGTTTCGGGCTAGGGGTTCAGGGTTCAGCGTTTAGGGTTGGGGTTCAGTGTTTGAGTGTTTGGGGTTTGGTGTTTTTAGGGTTTGGGGTTCTTGGGGTTTGGGGTTTGGGGTTTGGGGTTTTGGGTTTTGGGTTTGGGGGTTTTGGGTTCTTGGGGTTTGGGGGTTTTGGGGTTTGGGGTTTAGGGAGCCTACTTAGGGAACTCTAAGCCTCTAAGCCCTAAAACCCTGAGCCCTACACCCTCTAAGCCCCGCGGGCCGGAATGCTGCTTCCATCCCCCACCAACACTGGGGCCCATCAGGAGGAGTGGCGCTGTGCCCAAAAGCCTCCCTTGTCGAAGTCCTGAAGAGAGTGGGATTTACGGCCAAACCAACTGCGATCCTCATCAAGAACCTGACCACGTTGGCCTCAAGGGATACCCCAGATCCAAGATCACATGTTCGGTGTCGGTGTCGGGAAATGACGGGGCACCGCGAGATCGTCACGGTGGCTTGTGCAATTGGGCTTTGGGGAACACGTAAAACGCCAAGCTGAAGGAAAAGAAGTTCTTGTCCCCTCACTCATGAAGACACGGCCAAGCTTAGCAAATGCCAGGGATGGGCAGTGAGCCTCTTGATGAGCTCTCTCGAGAAACACGTGCCAGACATGGCGATTGAACCCTAAACACTAAACCCTAAACCCTAAACCCTACACCCTAAACCCTAAACCCTAAAACCGTTTTTAAAACAGAGCTTTAGGGTTTGTGAGCCTCTTCTCACAGAGGCCGATCAAGTAAACCCTAAACCCTGCACCCTAAACCCTGCACCCTAAACCCTAAACCCTGAACCCTGAACCCTGGCCCCTGAACCCTGAACCTTAAACCCTAAACCCTCAACCCTCAACCCAAACCCTAAACCCTAAACCCTACTGGAGGGGGTTCAGGAGTGCCCGACGGCCCTCTAAGCTCGACATCTGGGGTTTAGGGTTTAGGGTTTAGGGCTTTCTTTTGCTCAACGCCCTGAGCCCTGAACTCTATCTCAACCCTCCACCACAAACCCCTCAACCCTCCCTCAAACCTGAGCCCTGAACTCTTCACCCCAAGCTGGGGGTTCTCTTCCAAGGCGGAGTGTGCGCAGCCTCAAGGACCCTGCCAACTTGGCTGTAGCATGGTCTCATGACTCGAAACGTAGGGCTTGCGGGCCATCTTTTTATCGCCCTTATGGCAGAGCTCTTGCACCCCTTTGAGGGTTTTAGGTTTTGGGGTTTAGGGTTTAGGTTTCAGGGCAGTGGCTGCAAGACTGGAATTGCTACTGGACACTCCGGCCTTCCTTCCCTAAACCCAAAACCCTAAACCCTAAGCCCTAACCCCTAAACCTTAAGCCCAAAGCCCGCCGAAAGAAGCCACCCCCTTACAGGAATTGGAGATGGCTGGAGAGCGACGGCGGCGCAGGCGAGCCGTCTCAAAGCACTACTTGGAGGTACACCAGAGGTTCAGGGTTTAGGGTTAGGGTTCAGGGAGTTATAGCTGTACTTATAGCCCACTTATAAGCCCCTTAAGTGCCCTAATATGGCTGTAAGTACAGTTATAAATACAGTTCTAATTGGTTAATGAGTACCATGAACCTCCAAGCACTTGGAGGTACATTAGAGGTTCAGGGGTTAGGGCCGTAGGGGGTTACGGGTTTAGGTGTTTAGGTGCCCCCAAACCCTACCTGTTGGGTACTCAGGGTTGGGGGTGCTTGGGGGTTTAGGGTGTTGGGGTTTAGGGTCAGGGTTCAGGGTTCAGGGTTCAGGGTTCAGGGTTCAGGGTTCAGGGTTCAGGGTGTTGGGGTTTAGGGTTAGGGTTTAGGGTAGGGAGTTTTCCATACGTACCACAACCCTGTCGAGGGCACTGACGATCTGGCCATGCACTGCCAAGCATGAGCCCTAGGTTAGGAGCTGATGTCTCTTGGGGCTGGAGGGTATACCCCAAACCCTAAAGCCTAAACCCTAACCCCTAAACCCTCACCCCTAAACCCTCAACCCTAAACCCGAAACCCTAAGCCCTAAGCCCGAAGCCCTAAGCCCTAAACCCTATAAACTCCAAATCTTTCGTGGCTTCATCGGGCGTGCTTGACTGCAGCTTCCCCCAGATTGCTGGCCAAGACCCCTAAACCTCAAACCCTCAGCCCTAAGCCCTAAACTCTAAACCATGTTGGGTTTAGGGTTTAGGGCTTAGGGTTGAGGGTTTAGGGATTCGGGTTTCGGGTTTAGGGCACAGCCTTAAACCCGAAGTCTGTGCAAGGCGCATTGTGCAGCAGACGGGCGGCAAACACCCGAGCCGCCCCGTTCTCCCGGCAAACACGAGTGCAGGAGGCCTGCTGTAAGCCCAGAACCCTCAAACCCGAAGCGGGGTTCGGGGTTGAAGGGGTTTTAGGGTTTTAGGGTTTTGGATTTAGGGCTTAGGGTTTTAGGGTTTTAGGGTTTTAGGGTTTTAGGGTTTTAGGGTTTTAGGGTTTTAGGGTTTTAGGGTTTTAGGGTTTTAGGGTTTTAGGGTTTTAGGGTTTTAGGGGGTTTTAGGGTTTTAGGGTTTTAGGGTTTTAGGGTTTTAGGGTTTTAGGGTTTTAGGGTTTTAGGGTTTTAGGGTTTTAAGGGTTTTAGGGTTTTAGGGTTTTAGGGTTTTAGGGTTTTAGGGTTTTAGGGTTTTAGGGTTTTAGGGTTTTAGGGTTTTAGGGTTTTAGGGTTTTAGGGTTTTAGGGTTTTAGGGTTTTAGGGTTTTAGGGTTTTAGGGTTTTGGATTTAGGGCTTAGGGTTTAGGGTTCTTGTGGTTCCCATAGGGTTCTGCAAGATTTCTTAAAGTTTTGGGGTCCTCTTGGGTGGACTCGAGAATGTCGGAAGATTTCGGGAGCTCAAAAGAATAAACAATTACGCGGAACTCCTGGTTGAGAGGCTGCCCTACATGAGTTACATGTGGATTTAGGGTTTAGGGTCTAGGGTTTACGAAAACTCTGGACCCCAAATATAGCCCCTCCAAATAGTCGGATCCCCTTGTAAAAAGGACCCCATTAAGGTACCCCCCATTATCGTAAACCCCCATATAGGGTTTAGACATAATATAGGGGGGCAGAATAATTACTAACAGAATAGACGAGAATAACCCCCAAGACCCTATTCTAATTGTTAAGGCCCCTAGAGTATGCGCACACGGCGAAAGCCCCTCTACCCGCATGAACCATGGCTCCCAGGACTGGAGAGCCAGTGTATTCTGCCAAATGTGTCGTGAGGGTTTAGGGTTTAGGGTTTAGGGTAGACCCTGCACCTTAAAACCCTCAGCTTGCGAACCTGCCCAACCCTGCCGAGAAGCTCCGCCTGCGCCGAAGCGAAAGACGAAGAAGTCGATGTTCAGGCAAGCTTCGGCTCACGGGGGTGTTTCGTGTCCAGGGTTGTGGGGTAAGCCCTAAACCCTAAACCCTAAACCCTAAACCCTAAACCCTAAACCCTAAGCCCTAAACCCTAAACCCTAAACCCCTAAACCCCTAAACCCCTAAACCCTAAACCCCTAACCCCTAAACCCTAAACCCCAAACCCTGAACCCTAAACCCTAAACCCTAATCCATCGGGGCCATGGGTTCAGTGATTCCCTCTGAGTTGGGACCTCGACGCGGGAAGGGTGGATTTAAGGTGGGTTTCTAGGATGCCCAGTAGTACCCTTTTTCCCTTTTTGGGGGGTTTAGGTTCCCTCATAAACCCCTTTAAGCAAAAAAGGGTACCCTTTTTAAGCCTAGGTTACTGGCCAGCCTAGGTTTAGGAGTTGAGCGATTAGAGGATAAGTTATATTGGTTGGTGGCCTCTTTCGGCAGGGCTTCTGCTTTGTAGGGGGTTCCTTTTAGAGGGTATCTAGGGGCTGTTAAAAGTTATAAGGGTAACAGATAAAGAGACCACCGGCCTTTATGAAGGATAAGTTCTTGTGCAACGCGGAGGTTGCATGACTTTCTTGAGTGCGTTAAGAGGGGGAGAATAGGGATGCGGGGCAGCCCTCGACCCCTCAACGCTCCAGACCCCATAGAAATTGACCCCCCAAGTTGCACGCGGCAGCTTCCACGGGGCGGCTCTGAGGGTTCTGCTGGTCCCTTCCGGGTTTCGAGGCTGTGGACTTCCAGGTGAGGTGGACGGCATGGGGCAACAAACGCCAAGCGAGCTTGACCTCGCCACCCAGAATTGCGGGCCATGCAGGTACCATGCCACGCAGAGAACCTCCTTACGAAGATCGCATGACTAGCTTCATTGCTGAAGCGCTTGATGATTCAAGGGATTACGACTCGCACTCCCTGAGCTTGTACCCCTAAAGGTTCCCCTTAACATACTCCTAACAGGCCTGTATACCATCAACACCCCAAAACCCCAAGGGTACAACCCCGAGGGTCCAAAGGTACCACCCCTAGATGATTGTTCAAGACGTTTCTTTGGGGTTTCTGGGTTTCAGGGTTCCCCTAGACCCTAAACCCCAAACCCTAAACCCCAAACCCTAAACCCTAAACCCTAAACCCTAGGGCGCAGATTTTAGGGCTTAGGGTTTTGGGTTTTTGGAGTTTAGGGGTTTTTGGAGTTCCGGGCTGCCATGAATTTATGGCCCTAAATAGACCCAAAACCCTTAGAAACCCTTCTAAAGCTCCCCCCCCCACCCCACCCCAACACCAAAGAAACCCCAAACAACCCTAAATCAAAATCCCAAATCTTTTATACAACTCCTTCGTCATCAACCCCTTTGAAGCACTGAAGCACCAGGCCTTTTTCCAACTTTTAGAAACCCCTAAGCCCCAAACCGCTTCCAAGCCGCGCAAAAGCCCCTGAGCCGATACCCCAATTCCCCTAAACCCTAAACCCTAAACCCTAAACCCTAAACCCTAAACCCTAAACCCTAAACCCTAAGCCCTAAACCCTAAACCCTAAACCCTAAAACCCCTCATTAAGATTTTACATCCTTGTCACCCCTCTAATCCTTTATAAGCCGGCATTGCAACCCTGTACAAACCTGCAAGCGCCGCTCTCAACCCGTAATTGAGCCCTCAACCCTCACGTGCTTTGCTGGGACTTGCTTGCGGAGCCCTCAAAAGGTAAAAAAGGTCTTCCTCAAAAAGGGAGCTGCAGCTATACGGGGGTTTCGAGTTAACCCTAAACCCTAAACCCTAAACCCTAAACCCTAAACCCTAAACCCTAAACCCTAAACCCTAAACCCTAAACCTTAAACCCTAAACCCTAAACCCTAGACCCTAAACCCTAAACCCTAAACCCTAAACCCTAAACCCTAAACCCTGGGGGCTTCCGCGCTTGCAGAGGCCCACTGCGGCAGGCACGGCGCCGACTGGAGCAGGACATGAGCACGACCCGCGGCGGCATCTGGAGGGTTTAAAGGGTTTAGGGTTTAGGGTTTCGGGTTTAGGGTTTAGGGTTTAGGGCTACACCCTTCGAAGCCCCTAAGCCCCCTTCAAAGCCCTTAAAAACCCTTAAAGCCCCTAAAACCCCTAAAGCCCCCTGAAGCCCCCTGAAGCCCCCTGAAACCCCCTGAAGCCCCCTGAAGCCCCCTGAAGCCCCTAAAGCCCCAAAGAGATGATGAGACGCCTAGGGTGGTACGAACATGTACGAACATCAAACGGTAGCCATCGAGATGATAGCCACAGGAATGAATAACAATCACAGAAATCACGAAATGGGCCATAACAGTGACCGAGGCAGTAGGGACCATAAGGCTACTGTTTTCCTCGCAACGACAACCGTAATCCTGAGCCCAAAACAACAACAACCACAATACTGACAACAATCACTATAGTAGTAGCAGCAGTACTCACCATCGAAATAATACTAATCAGAACCCACCAAAAATGACCGTCCTCACCCTAAACCCTAAAACTGAACCCTAAACCCGAATCACCCTTCTCCAGCACAACAAAGACCCTCTCCCCCTGAGGACATGGTTTACGCCGACTTGCTCGACTTCGGCCCTGGCCCCAGCCAGGGGCTTCGCAGGGTTTTTTTCACAGGCTCCTTCTAAGGATCTGAGGGTGCTGCAGGCTATAGGCCTAAACCCGAAACCCTAAACTAAAAACCGAAAGCTAGTCAACTGGAGTTGCATCCTATTCTTGAGTGCATTTTTTTTGGACTTACGGTCTTAGGGTTTGGGGTTCTTTTTTGTTTGTATGTTTGGGGTTCCTGCAGCAAGTTGCAGTATAAGGGTTTCTGATGTAGTTGCTTCGACTGCTATAGCACTATAGGGCTCGGAATGATGACCAATAGTGTTCTCTTTATAATGATACCATAGTGATTATACCATAGTAACCCCCCAAAACTCTATTCGGATTTTGAAGGCCCCTAAGCCCTAAACCCTTAACCCTAAACCCTGAACCCTGAACCCTGAACCCTAAACCCTAAACCCTAAACCCTAAACCCTAAACCCTACACCCTGTACTGCACGCTGGGAGGGTCTGCTATGTGTCACTGCAAGGAATCGCTGAGCGGCCGGAGGAAGATCGAGGCCGCGAGAGGGACCGGGATCATGGGGGTCTGAGGGGCTGAAGGGTTTAGGGTTTAGGGTTTAGGGTTTAGGGTTTAGAGTTTAAGAAGGTAACCCTACACCGTCTTCCCCAAACCCTAGACCCCAAGCCCTAAACCAAACCCTCAATCCCAAACCCTAAACCCTAGAAGCCCTCAACCCTAGAAACCCTCAGCCCTATCTCAAGCCCTCCCCTGCGCCCATTGCCTGGCAGTTCTGGGGCTCGCAATGCCCACAAGAAAGGCCAACAGCAGGGTTTAGGGTTCAGGTTTTCGGGTTTAGGGTTTAGGGTTTCGGGTTTCGGGTTTGGGGTTTGGGGTTTAGGGTTTCGGGTTTAGGGTTCCACATGAGGTCCAAGCTTTAGCTGGCGATCTGGGCCACAAAAGTTTGAAGTTTTACGTTCACTGGGGTCCCGAAACAGCCCGAAGCCCTAAAAGCTAAACCCTAAACCCTAAACCCTAAACCCCAAACCCTAAACCCAAAACCCTAAACCCTAAACCCTAAACCCAAAAATCCTCCACGCGCAGCCCCACGAATGCCGCTGGCAGTTGAAAACTCGCCGCTGCCGCACTGCGCGTCCTGCTACGCCATCGTCGGGGGAGCGTCGCCTGGCCCATGCATCCAGTTCCGACATGGGTCGTTCTCTCAAAACTAGGGCAGTAACTAGGGTCCCTTTTTGGAGTTTAGGTTTTAGGGTTTAGGGTTTGGGGTTTAGGGTTTTAGGGGATAGTGGTTTTGTTAAGGTTCTAAGGGGAATACAAGGGCAGTTCTCTCAATTCTTTTGGGTCCTGTATCGGGGCTTGCGAAATTAGGGGTGCTTTTTCGGGGTCCTTATTATAAGGGAAGCCTTCTGTTTGGGGGTCTATGAGAGGGGTCTCTGATTATCGTAAACGCCCATATATAGTACGGCACCCTTATCATACGCGGACCCCAAAAGGGACCCCAATTTCGATAGTTACACCTACATGGCAGGGGGGTGTTATGGGTCTGGCATGTGGTATCCTGAGCACAACCCCAAACCCGAAACTGCAGAGGGGTTTGGGTTTGCGGCATTTTGGGTTTTCGATGTAGGGATATAAATATGTGGTTCCATGGATTCACGGTCGGTCCCCCCCCCCCCCCGCTCCCCCCTCCTTTTCCCCGAAACCCCAAGCGCTTAGAGTTTAGGGTTTAGGGTTTAGGGTGAGTTCAGGGTTCAGGGTTGAGGGTTGAGGGTTTAGGGTTTTGGGTTTAGGGTTTGGGACTTAGGGTTTAGGGTCTAGGGTTAGGGTTTACGGTGCAACCCCCTGCAGTCTCTCTCTGGCTTATTAAGGCTACGCTTCTCAACAAAAAGAGGCGTGGGCGAGAGGTTTCTTTTTTGAGTGGGGTTTATCGTTGAGTTCCGGGCCTGGGGATGGGGGGGGGGGAGGGGTTGACGGGTTAACATTTTGCCGGGCAGCTGTCTTGTCGGTTGCGTAAGGCGAGGACCATCATTTTTCCTTGTTTTTTTGATGGTGTACCTTTTGCAGGAGCAAAGCCACGGAAAGAAGAAGCACCAGCACAGGAAGATGATAGAGAATGGCTGCCGTTTTGCTGCAGAACCGCATTCTTCTTTGCGAGCACGCCGAGCAGTTGCGACTCAAGACAGAGCCCAAGAAGGTAGACAATGTGCCTGCAGAGGAGCTGATACAGCACTTCGCGGGGACGCAGGAGTTGTGGACGACGATCCCCTTGACCGTTCAGATTCGCATCGTCTTCCGCTTGGAGATGGTGTCCGACGTAGGGTTTAGGGCTTAGGGTTTAGGGTTTAGGGCTTAGGGCTTAGGGCTGAGTTCAACGACAACTTCAGCAGGGAGGTTTTCCAGGTGGGGTACCTCATGTACTCAAGAGGTATAGAAGGGTAGTATGGAGTATATAAGGGCTCTGTACGGGTTACAGAATGCGCTGCATGAGAAGCATCTTGGGGGAAACTGCCCACCCGAAACCCCAAACCCCAAACCCTAAACCCTAAACCCCAAATCCTAAACCCTATAAACCCTAAACCCTATAAACCCTAAACCCTGCACCCTAAACCCTCTTAGAGGCATGCCGGCCAAGCCCCAAGGCATTTCTACAGGGGCTTCCGGTGCCTGGAGTGCGAAAGCGCCCGGGTGTCCCAGCTCCACAACCTCCAGGGTTTTCAGGGTTTGGGTGGGCGGTTTTTGGGGGTTTTTTTCCGGGTTTGGGGGCGGACTTTTTGACTCTTTTAGGGGCTTTCAGGGGGGTGTTGGGGGGTGGTGTTGGGGGTTTTGGGAGTTTTGGGGGATTTTGGGGGGTTTAGGGTTTTTGGGGGGTTCAGGGGGTTTGGGGGGGTTTTTGGGGGTTTTTTGGGGTTAGGCATCAGCCCCAGAAACGAACTCCAACCTGACATTCCGGTGTTGCTTTGGGGACGAGTTCTGATGTCTTGCGCCACCCCCGAAACCTGAGCCCTCTTCGTCGTTTTTGGGCGATGTTTCGAGAGACTCGCCGGTTGTTCAACTTCCGGCATCGGAATACCCCGCGCCTCGGGTAACTCCGGGCCTTAACCCTAAACCTAAGCCCGAAAACCCGAAACCCTAAAATCCTTAAGCCCTAAGAAGTGAAACTCTGCCGTCTATAGGGTGTAAGGATTCAGGTGTTCAGGTCTTTGGGGCTTCAGAGTTGTGGTAGGTCTCTTTCGTCCGCTTTGCTGCGCGATGCAAGGGGGGGTTATGTTAAACCCTTCCCGAACCAAGAGAACCCCAAACCCTAAGCAGCCCAGCACCCTACAACCCTGAACCCTAACCAGTTCGGTACCCCACAACCGGCAAGTCCCAATCCCTAGACCCTAAACCCCAAACTCTAAACCCTAAAGCCCAAAACTCTGCCTAAAGCCGCGCTGCCAGGCCGGCGCGCGACACCTGCTCTGCTACAGGCGCCGCCCCTCCCGCCTCCCCCATCGGAGAGAGAGAGAGAGAGAGAGAGAGGGTTTAGGGTTCAGGGTTCAGGGTTTAGGGTTTAGGGTTTAGGCTTTAGGGTTTAGGGTTTAAGGTTTAGGGTTTAGGGTTTAGGGTTTAGGGTTTAGGGTTTAGGGAGAGAGAGAGAGGGCTTGCGGGTTTCGAGGTTCAGGATCTAACAGCTCTAAGCCCAACCCCGAATAGAACGGGGGTTTAAGGGTTTGGGGGTTCCGGGTGCAGGGTTTAGGGGTCTACGCGTTCGGGGGTCTAAGGGTTCGGGGCTTCAGCGGTTTCGGGGCGCAAAAGTTCAGGGGACTTAAAGTGGTCGGAGCTTTATGGAGGGAACCCTAAACCCGAAAACCAAACCCATTTTGGTGGAATCCGCATTTTTGGGTTTAAGTTTTAGGGTCTACTATAGGGCTGGCGGGACGCGGCCGGATTCGGGGGTATCGGCCCTAAACCCTAAACCTTAAACCCTAAACCCTAAACCCTGAACCCTAAACCCTAAACCCTAAACCCTAAACCCTAAACCCTAAAGCCTAAGCCCTAAGCCCTTTAAGGGCCTCTGCGGGCTCAGAAGCTTTCTTCGCCAGGTGTGCGGAGTCGGTCTTCAATGACCTGGACGAGTTGGAGGCTCCTTAGGGCCTCCCCTAGGTTGAGGGTATTAGGGTTTAGGGCGAAACCTACACCCTACACCCTGCACCCTACACCCTAAACCCTAAACCCTAAGCCTAAACCCTTGGCGTATAGGGTTTAGGACATAGGGGGGGTGTGTGGTCTGAGGATGAAGGTATGGGGTTGAGAGGGCTTAGCGGGCTTAGCTGCGGGGATTTGTTGGGCTTGTGGTTTAGAGTTTAGGGTTTAGGGCTGAGGGGTGAGCTTCAAGGCTTTAGGATTTGGGTGTAGGTGCTTGTGCCTGCCGATGAGTGTTGCGGCACGGCTGTAGAGGCCTCAACAGCCAAGCTGCCCGAGAGTGACCGCGACGGGCCACTGGTGCTGGCTGTTTCAAAGCCAACCTGGAGGGCTTGGCAGCCCGTGCGGCGTTACACGGTGGAACGTGCGAGCAAGGCGGTGGCGGAGCGGTTACCCCGGAATCCGGGCTCAAGGCGGGAAGGTTTCTGCCGGGCAAGCACCACAGGGAAGTGCTGCAGCACCAGGGCTTCACGGAAGAAATGCAACAGCCGAGTTCTTCAAGGGGTGGGCAAGAGCTTCAAGGGAGGAGGTACTTGGGGGGACTGGCCGCACTTCCGGGGTCTGCAAGGCTCCGAAAAATCTAAACTCCCTAAACCCGAACTGTCCCTAAACCCCACACCCTAAACCCTAAGTGCTCAAACCCTAAACCCTAAACCCTAAACCCCAAGCCCTATAAGCCCTAAACCCTAAGCCCTAAGGTCAAATCCAGTCAGTTTTCAGAGCGGAATTCTATGCTGTCAACGTGGCCTTGGCTATCTCGGGCGATTGCATGGTTTATTGCGATAACATGGCCGTGGTAAAGGTCATACAGGCGATTATCAGTGGCCGACAGAGTCTTTCACATTGGATATCCCATCCCGACCGAGACTTGATCCAAACGGCCATTAACTGTGTCAGGGGCCGGGTTTCTTGAAGCAGATTTTAGCTCTTCTCCTGAGACAGATATTCGATGAATACCAGTGAGTTAGTTAGTATCTCAGTTCACTCCTTTTACTTATGCAAGATGCATGAGTGGTCTCACGCAATCAACATGCCGGATTCCATTTCGTCCGATCTGACCTAAGCCCCAAGCCCTCAACCCTAACCCCCGCGCATGATGAACATTTATGGAGGGTCAGCTCTCCATAAGCTCCATACCGTTACCGCAAGCAAAACGAAAATGATTGTAAACCAACCCTCAGGTAGCCATGGTTTAGGATCTAGGGTTTAGGGTTTAGGATTTAGGGTTTAGGGTTTAGGATTCAGGGTTTAGCGTTTGGGGTTTAGGGTGTGGGTAGTTGGACGGGTAGTTCTCTAAGTGAGGGCCTTTCTTGGGGTCCGCCTGTTTTTATGGGTGCCGTAGCATAATATATAGGACCCAAAAAGGGAGCTTAATCGAGAGAACGACTTCAATTGCGTCAAAACACCTGTTCTAATGAACTGGGTCCCGACATTCCCTGGACCTTAAGCGGCTGGGCGGCTAGACTTGTTATGTTGGCACGACCTCATAGAGCAAGCACCTGCCCAAAAGTCCCCAGGACTTGCTGCAACTTGGGTTTACGTCTTAGTGGCGTTTGGGCTCAAGGCCCCCCCTATAAAATGACCTTGGAGACGAAGTAGTAAGCAAGGGTTCCCCACACCTTTCCCCCCCCCCTTTATGCCCTAACCCCTAACCCCTAAACTCTAAACCCTAAACCCTACACCCTAAACCCTAAACCCCAATCCCTAAACCCTAAACCCTAAACCCTAAACCCTAAACCCTAAACCCTAAACCCTAAACCCTAAACCCTAAACCCTAAACCCTAAACCCTAAACCCTAAACCCTAAACCCTAAACCCTAAACCCTAAACCCTAAACCCTAACCTAAACCCTAAACCCTAAACCCTAAACCCTAAACCCTAAACCCTAAACCCTAAACCCTAAACCCTAAACCCTAAACCCTAACCCTAAACCCTAAACCCTATAAACCCTAAACCCCCCTACCCTCAACGCCTTCCACGTCCCAGGCCATGGACATGGACGTCCGCGAGAAGTTCGACTTCGAGGCGAAAGTTTTGCGGGCTTCGAATCTTGGTGTTTGGTGTTTTGAACTGGGGTTTAGGGTTTAGGGTTTCGGGTTTAGGGTTTCGGGTTTAGGGTTTAGGGTTTAGGGTTCAGGGTTTCGGGAGCAACCCTTAGCCCTAAACCTAAGACCCTCAAGCCAGAACAGAAGAGCCTACGGCTCCGGGGCCCAGCACTCCGTTAAGGCCCATTTACAGTCTGCGAAGCCCTACACCCCCAACCCAGTCTATCAGCCCCCTAAACCCCTGAACCCTTAAAGCCTGACCCGAAACCCCAAACCCTAAACCCCAAACCCTAGACCCTAAACCCTAAGGCCCCCCTCCGAGCGAGGCCTACAATTCCTACCTGGACAGCAGTGCGCGACTTAGACTCCGCGGCAAGTCCCTTTAGGGCAGCCCTAAAGGGTTTAAGGGCTTTCAGGGCTCTTAAAGGGCTTCAAAGGCTTCAAGGGCTTAAGGGCTTTTACAGGGCTTTTAAAGCTCCCGGACATCCGGCCCACTTCGCCGAATCCACTCCTCTGCAGGCTTTGGGGCCGGATGCAATTCTTTCCCCTAAACCCTATAAAGCCCTATAGAACCCTATAAAACCCTATAAAACCCATAAAACCTTATAAACCCTGTAACACCCTGTAAAACCCTCAAAAGCCTGTAAACCCTAGAAACCCTAGAAACCCTGTAAACCCTATGAGCCCTGGTGAGGGGCAGGAGTCTTTTTTGTATTCGTTTAGGGTTTAGGGCTAGGGTTTAGGGTTTGGGGTTTAGGGTCAGGGCTTTCAGGTTCCTTTCGGGTTTTGAGGCTTAATGTTTGAGGGTTTCGGCTGCGGTTCGGACGATTTTTGCGGGTTTTTCCCAGGTTGAGGGCTTCTAGGTCAAGCCGGATCCCTTGTCTACACGGTGAATTGGGGCTTAGCGTTTTAAGGTGCAACGTTTGAGTCGGGCTTGGATGTTTAGTGCTCTATACGGCTCAGGTCATAAGCGAGACGTCAGAGTGTGAAGAAGACCATGCAGACCCCAGAGCCCTCATCCCTAAGCCCTACTTGTAAGCCTTGTCAAGCCTGAAGCCTGAAGAACAGAGATCCCCCCGTAGAAAACTGCCCAGGAGTTTAGGTGAAACCCCGAAACCCCCCAGAGGGCCAGACCCAAACCAAACCCTCCCCCCACCCCGCCTCGAGGGTTCAACTCACCGAGGCATCAACGACTCCATCACGGTGCTTCCCTACAAGACGGTGGAGGCAAACATGCTTTGGGGATACCCTGAACCTCAAACCCTAAACCCTAAACCCTAAACCCTAAACCCTAAACCCTAAACCCTAAACCCTAAACCCTAAACCCTAAACCCTAAACCCTAAACCCTAAACCCTAAACTCTAAACTCTAAACCCTAAACCCTAAACCCTAAACCCTAAGAGGGTTCAGTGCCCGGCCTTGCGACAGCCCGAGACCCCGAGGCTTGTTGAAGGGGATGCGGGCATACAGGCCTGACAGAAGACCCGCACGAACCCAAATACGGACTAAACAAGAGAAACCAAACCTCCCCCCTACCAGGGAGAGAAAACCACAATCGGGCCATAGCTGCCCTTCGCATTTTACGAACCTTTTCGAGGCCACTCTGCATCCCAACCTTCAGCGACAGATCACGGCAAACCCTAAACCCTGAACCATGAACCCTGCACCCTAAACCTTGAACCCTAAACCCTAAGCCCTAAACCCTAAACCCTAAGCCCTGAACTCTAAACCCTGAAACCCTGAACCCCACGGGGCCTTCCTGATGCCAGGTGGTCTTCAACAACATCAACATGTGGATACCCCTAAACCCTAAACCCTAAACCCGAAACCCTAAACCCTAAACCCAGGTGGTCTTCAACAACATCAACATGTGGATGAACATCCAACATCCAGATCCCCGTCCAGTCCTCGGATGCCCCCCTCAGGGTGGCAGGGTGGGGCTAAGGCAAATTAGGGTTTCGGAATTTGGGGTTAAGGTTTAGGGTTTAGGGTTTCGGGTTTAGGGTTTAGGGTTTAGGGCTAGCGTTTCGGGTCTTGGGGTTAGGGTTTAGGGTTTTTGCATCCTAGGGTTTAGGGGCGGGGAGAATTGGTAGGGAAGCAGTTCTCCAAGCTTGGCGGCTTTGGGCTTTTGGGGCTTCAGAGTGTTTTTTGAAAAGCTGCTCTGACATTTGCAGAAGCTGCGCGTCCAGAACGTGAATTCCGCCGTGCTTCCCATTGACTTAGTGAAAGTGTGTGGAGGCTTCCTTCTACGTACCGCAAATATGAGGCTCCGTATTGGAATAGGAAATTGCCCTAAACCCCATAACCTCTGAACCCTTCACTCAAGCCCTATTGGCGCAAGCGCGATGGCAAATGAAGCACCCCTGGTCACTTGCGTCGGCTCGGCAAAGTTGGCGAGCTTGTACAGGGCTTAGGGTTTCGAGTTTAGGGGTGCTTGCTTGCTGCCCAGCTAGTCCACTTCGGGTGTCTGAGTCATTCGGGGAGGCATGCGAACAAGGAAGGTGTTCCTCAGCTAAGGTGGAGCTGTCGGTGCAGACTAGGAGCATCGCTTGTTGAGGGTTTAGGGGTTAGGGTTGAAAAGCATTGGAACCTGGAACCCTAAACCCTAAATCCTAAACCCCAAACCCCAAACCCCCAAACCGCCCGAAATCCTGAGTGAGGGCTGATGTATAGAGGCTCTTATGGCATCTCCTGTTACCGAGGATACATCTTCTGGGACCTACAGAACAAGGAGCCACGGGTTCAGGGTTTGGGGTTTGGGGTTTAGGGTTTAGGGCCCCTAAACCCTCAACCCCCTCAAGACCTTGTAAGCCCTCAACTCCCCTCAAGACAGGCGCCCCAGAAACCGTTTTCGTCGGGCAGAGAGAACCTCAGTCCCTAAACCCTAAACCCCAAACCCCAAACCCCAAACCCTGAACCCTAAACCCAGGAGCTCCCCTTCTTCCCAATACATTCCCAAAGCCCTGAAAGGAAAAAGGTTGTTGTCCTGGGAAGGCGGGAGTGGTTTTGGGGTTTAGGGTTTAGGGTTTAGGGTTTAGGGCTAGGGGGTTTAGGGATTAGGATTTAGTGTTTAGGGTTTCGGGAAAGCCTTCAAGCACCAAACCTTAAGCCCCTCATGCCAACACCGCCCAACAACACCCGAAACTCAACCTCCAAAAGCCCCTAAACCCTAAACCCTAAACCCTAAACCCTAAACCCTAAACCCTAAACCCTCAACCCTAAACTACGTCCAGGACTACTGGCACGCCTTCGCGCCCAAGGCCTGCTCATGGTCAGGTTCCAAGGGGTCTAAGGGTGTAGGGACTAGGGTTTGAAGGGGCTTACAGGGGTTCAAATTGCAAAGAGTGAGGGATCTCAGGTTGTTTTTTTCTTTTCGGGCTTAGGGGGTTTTGGGGTAGGGCTTCTGTGCCTCAGACCCCTAAGACATCAGTTTTTTTAAACCCAAAGCCCGAATTCTAGTTCGGGTTTGGGGTTTCGGGTTTAGGGGTTAGGGCTTCGGATTTCGGGTTAGGGTGTGGTTTTTGGGCTTTGAGGGCTTCGGGTATTCGACCTCTGTTGCCAAAAGCCCCAGAAAGTGCGCGAAGCCCCTGACCAGGTAGCAGGGCTGCGGCCGTGTTTCTCGGCCTGCCGGTTTCCAATGGCGGGTGCTGCCCTCGAGGTTTCGGGGCCCTAAAGCCCTTGAGCTTTGAACCCTTATGAACGCTACCAATCCTTAAGCCCTTAGGCCGCGCAACCCCAAAAGCCCTGACCCCCAAACCCTTGACGCCTGTAACAGCCTAGCCCCAAAATCCGAAAACCCTCTTTCAGCCCTTGAACGACCTAAACCCTAAACCCTAAACCCTAAACCCTAAACCCTAAACCCTAAACCCTAAACCCTAAACCCTAAACCCTAAACCCTAAACCCTAAACCCTAAACCCTAAACCCTCAAACCCTCAAACCCTCAAACCTTAAGTCGCAAGCCCTCCACCCCGGAGCAGGATATCGAGGGCTCCCCAAGATCTAGGGGGGCGGTTTCTCAGATCTGAGTGGCTTCTGGGGGGCGGCTTAGGGGTCCTGCAAAGCTCCCCACTTCTGGGGTCTACTCGCAGAGAGGGTGCTGGACTGCCCCGACACCGAGCTCAGGCTTTAGGGTTTTCAGGGTTTAGGGTTGAGGGTTTAGGGTTGAGGGTTGAGGGTTTAGGGTTTAAGGTTTAGGGTTTAGGACTTCAGTGAAGCAGCAGAAGTTCTAAGGCCGCGACGAAGGCTGGTGCCAGCAGCAGCGGCGGGAGTTGATACTTGGCTAAGGTCTAGGGTCTTAAGGTTCGGGGGGTTGAGGCTTTATCTACTATTTGCTTAAGAACCCCCCCCCAACAAAAAGTAAAAGGTAACAATCCCTATGTTGCCCTTGTAAGGAAGAATGTTTCTATTCTTTTGGGGGCTCTTAAGCAATTAGTAGTGATAGGGTTTAAGCTTTAAGGTCTCGGGTCCAGGGTCTAGGGTTTGGGCGCTCACACTGTTCAGCTCACCTTTTTGGGGTTGTAGCATCGGTTTGGCTGGCTTAGGGATCGTCTGGCTCCAGTTGGATTCGTTTGCAGCAGTGTTTGGGTGGTCTTGGAGTGGGCACGTCGTCTCGCTGCAGCACCCAGCTGGCCAATGCTACACCCTAAAGCCCTAAAACCCCCAAACCCTCTACCCCCAAAAACCCCAGACCTCCCAACCCCCGAAACCCAAAAACCCACACAAAAAACACCCAAAACTTCCAAACCCCAAAGCCCCAAACCCCCCCCCCCCTGCAAGTTTTGCACTTCCCTTGCGGGCTTGTCCTCGCCCTCAGAAGTAGGGAAGGTGCTTTCGGGCAGCATACGCTTGTCACGAAACCCCCCCCCCCCAAACCCTAAACCCCAAAACTCTAAACCTCAAACCCTAACCCCTAAAGCCCAAACCCCAACCCCCAAACCGTAACACCCACAAAACAAAACCCAAAACCCTCAACCCCTAAACCCCAACCCCCAAACCCTAAAGACCCACAAAAAGCCCAAACCCCAAACCCCAAACCCTAAACCCCAAACCCTAACCCTAAACCCCACAACCCCAAAACCGCAAAACCCCAAACCCTAAACCCTAAACCCCTTAAACTCCCAAAACCCTCAAGACCCTCAAAACCCCCAAAACCCAAAGACCGCAAACCAAAACTCTCCAACTCCCTGAACTGCGGGGGGCCTCTGAGGCTACAGGAGCTCCGGAAGGCGCTGTCGGTTTCTGTTGGGAGGGAGGGTTCCGGGTGGGGGGTGGGGGGGGGTTAGGGTTGAGGGTTTAAGGTTGAGGGTTGAGGGTTGAGGGTTGAGGGTTGACATTTTGGGTTTAGGGTTTAGGGGTCAGGGATTTTGGGGTTTAAGGGTTTAGGGGTTTAGGGGTTTTCGGGTTTTTGGGGTTTTGGGGTTTTGGGTTGTGGGTGCGCACAGGAGAGCCTAAATAGTTGCCGATGTTTTCTGAATATTCCCTCCATCGCCCTCAACATACAGTACCCCAAACCCTAAACCCCAAACCCTAAACCCTGAGGCTTTATGTTTTTATTCGGGTTTTCGGGGACGCTGCGGGGTCAGGGCCCTGAACGCGGAAGCCCGCACGGATCTCGCACGCGCGCTTGGCCCAACCCTCTCTGGGCAGCCCAGTGGTGCTCCTTTCCCTTTTTTTGGTTCAAGGTTCCCTGAAAGAGTAACCAAAAGGTGTCCTAGTATAATATGGCTACTGGGCTCCAAACCCCTGAACCCCTGCCTGGTAGCCCGGTGGTGTCCTTGTCACCTTTTTTGGTTCCAGGTTCCCTGGTAAAGCAAAAAAAGGGTGTCCTACTATGATATGGTTGCTGGGCTGCCATGCGTACTTATAGGGTGCTTAAGGGAGTGAGATTCAAGCGGGGCATGTAACCCAAGGTTCCCGAGTCCTCCCCACTGCTCCCAAAGGCTCCCTGAGCTCCTCTGAGGTTTGTTTAGGTACCTACATCCATGAATTCCTCCCTTAAGAACCCTACAACCTAAACCCTTAACCCCTACACCCCATACCCATACCCCCTAAACCCTTAGCCCCTAAAGCCCCCAAGCCTGTAACTTCATCCTCGTCCTAAACCCTAAACCCGAAACCCTAAACCCTAAACGCAAAACCCTAAACCCTCAAGCCCCTGTACCTTGAAATTATTCAAAAGCTCCAATTCAGAAACTCCTCGAAACTTTCCCCGGACCTGAACCCTGAATAATCCCAATATACCCTGAACCCTAAACCCTAAACCCTAAACCCTAAACCCCAAACCCTCTTGAGCCCCGAAGCCCCCAAGCAGGTGGTGCAGATGCAGCGCGCCCACAAGAACTTGGGCACCCGGTGGGCCGGGAGCCCCTTTGAGCCCAGTGTAGGGCTTTAGGGTTTAGGGTTAGGGTTCAGGGTTTAGGGTTTAGGGTTTAGGGTTTAGGGTTTAGGGTTTAGGGTTTAGGGTTTAGGGTTTAGGGTTTAGGGTTTAGGGTTTAGGGTTTAGGGTTTAGGGTTTAGGGTTCAGGGTGGGAGACCCTTCGAGCCCAGGCAGCGGGTCCTGAAAGTTTCAGTGTTTTAGGGGTTTTGAGCGCAGGAGTTTATGGATGTAGGGTTGAGGGCTTAGGGTTTCGGGTTTAGGGTTTAGGGTTTAGGGCTTAGGGTTTCGGGTTTAGGGGTGCAAGTGCAGGAGTTTAGGGACTCAGGGGGTGGTAGGTGTTTGGGAGGCCCAGCCGCCCTCATGGCATGTTTTTGTTTAGGGAGCTTCGTGGGTTGAGGAGCTAAGCCCTAAGCCCTAAGCCCTAAGCCCTAAGCCCTAAGCCCTAAGCCCTAAGCCCTAAGCCCTAAGCCCTAAGCCCTAAGGCCTAAGGCCTAAGCCCTAAGGCCTAAGGCCTAAGGCCTAAGGCCTAAGGCCCTAAACCCTAAACCCTAAACCCTAAACCTAAACCCTAAACCCTAAACCCTAAACCCTGAACCCTGAACCCTGAACCCTGAACCCTGAACCCTACATCCATACCTCGAAGTACGAAGCCGAGGTGACGAGCCCTCACCTACTCCGCTTCCTTGAGGCCCTCTGCCAGTCCGTGGGCTCAGGGTTTTTGGTTTAGGGTTTAGGGGTTGGAGTTTAGGGTTTAGGGTTTGGGGTTTAGGGTTTGGGGTTCGGGGTTTAGGGTTACAATTGAGGGTTTGGGGTTTGGGGTTTGGGTTGGAGGCTTAAGGTTTGCGGCTGAGGGGTGAGGGGTCTAGGGTTGAGGGGTTTCGGGGCTTGGGGCTGAGGCGGCATCGTCATTGTCATTACTTGAAGGGTCCCTTACTTGGATGTTCATGGCAACTAGTAACCCAATTTTAACTACACAAGTGTAACCCCATTAGGGTACTTAAGGGGCTTACAAGTGAGTGATAACAACACTTAAAATTGGGATACTAAGTACGCTGAACCTCCGAACCCCTAAACCCTAAACCCTAAACCCTCAACCCTAAACCCTAAACCCTACACCCTACACCCTAAACCCTAAATCCTAAACCCTAAACCCTAAACCCTAAACCCTAAACCCTAAGTGACGCGGGAGGCTGGCCTCCGCATCCGTGCCGAGTTGGACATGGAGGGGCACGTGATCTTCGACGACGAGGCAGCGCCAAACCCTTCGGGTTTAGGGTTTAGGGTTTTGGGGCTCAAAAAGAGTTGAGGGGTTTTAGAGCGGTTTCGGGATTGAGGGATTAGGGGGTTTAAGGTTGAAGGGCTTTTTGTGTTTAAGGGCTCTTTGGTTTCGGGGGTTTGGAGAAGTTAAGCCCTAAACCCCTAAAACCCCCTAAACCCCAGCCCCACAACCCCCAAACAACCTAAACCCTACAACCCCAAACCTTACACTCCCAAACCCTAAACCCCACAACCCAGAAAAACCTACACCCCGCAACCCCCCAAAACTGTAAGCCTGGCCGAGCCGTTCGGGCAGGAGGATGGCAAGGGTGAGGAGACCTCGCGAGTCCTGGAGCCGCGTGGCCGCAGAGGTTGGTTGAGGGTTTGTAGGTTTAGGGTTTAGGGTTTAGGGTTGTAGGTTGTAGGGTTTAGGGCGTAGGGTTTAGGGTTTAGGGTTGTAGGGTTGTAGGGTTTAGGCGTAGAGTTTGGGTTTAGGGTTTCGGGTATGAGAAGAATTTTTTCGGACCAGCGAGGCAGCCAGCAGCAAAAGCAACGCATAGCAAACAAGAGCGTTGGCCCAAGCCCTAAACCCTAGACTCCCTAATGAAACCTCGTTGCGTCATTTTTGATACACTCGCGGTACCCATTAAGAAACAGCATGGGCAATTGCGCAGTACAAAGCAAAACCGCCACAACAAGTACAGATAAAAGGCACCCCCGTTACAATTGCAGGGAGAGACCCTTCCTGGACCCCCCCCCCCCCGCCCCCCAAACACCCTTTAATCAGGGGTATTTAGGGATTCTTACGGAGTACTTGGGGGTCAAGGGACAAAGGAGGGACCCTTATAAGGGACCTTAGCTCTTTAGGGGCTGTCTAGAAGCTACTTAGGTTTCTAGGGACTCTTTCAGGCATATGTAGGGGTTATAAAGGGAAACAAGATTAAGGGTTTCTTGGAGGGGTCCCTCCTTAGACCCCTCAAGGAGGTCCAGGTAGGGCCCCCCACGCTGTGCCAAGGCTGCGCAAGAACCTATCAGACTGGGCCGGGCGCCCCAGTAGGCCACGAGCGATGCGGATCGTTTGGATCGGCGAGGAGGGTTTAGGGTTGAGGACTTCTAATTCCTAAACCCCAAACCCTAAACCCTAAACCCTAAACCCTAAACCCTAAACCCTAAACCCTAAACCCTAAACCCTAAACCCTAAACCCTAAACCCTAAAAAAAAACTAAACCCTAGTTGCAGGGTTTCGGGCTCAGAGGGGCGTAGAGCCGCCCGTGTGGCTCTCGCGCTGTGCGCACTTGAAGCTTCATGGCTCCTCGTCGCTCAGTACCCATGAGCGCCTGAAAAGGTGGAGCTTCCTCCTTACAGCAAACTGTGTGTTTTTCCATTGGGGTTTCAAAAACGCTGACGCCCCGAAACCCTAAACCCCAAAACGGAGCCCTAAATCCCTAAACTCCTAAACCCCTAAACCCCGAAAGCCCAAGGCCTGAAAGAAGCCCTGAGCTCCAAACCCCGCAGCACCAGGAGCGTGCCCTGGAAGCCAAGACGCCCCTTGAGTGACTGGGACAGCAGTCGATTTTGGGATTTATCGTGGTTTGAAAAGGGTTCGTACGGGTTAGAAGGGGGCCCAATAAATACCTTTGTGGGATTAACACGGCTCTTTTTTTTGGGGTTTGCAAGGCTTGTTGGTCGGGGTCTGGGGTTTAGGGTTTTAGGGTTTTGGAGTTTGGGAGTTTATGAGGTTTAGGGTTTTAGGGCTTAAGGTTTAGGAGTTTATGGCGTTTCGTGTTTAGGGGCTTAGGTTTAGGGTTTAAGGTTTAGGGTGTTAGGGTTCAGGAGCTCATTAGGGTTTAGGGTTTAGGGTTTAGGGTTTAGGGTTTAGGGTTTAGGGTTTAGGATTTAAGGGTGAAGGGTTCCGGGTTTAGAACTTGGTGTCTGTAGGGAATAGGGCTTCGAAGTTCAGGTCTTGGGTCGGAGCCTAAACCCTAGACCCCAAACCCCAGACCCCAGACCCCAAACCCTAAACCCTAAACCCTAAACCCTAAACCCTAAACCCTAAACCCTAACGCTCCGGCCCAGGTACAAGCTCAGCGGCATGCCGATGCACTTCAACTATTTGGTGTCTCGGCGGCGCTGATCCCTACACCACCAAAGCCCCCAAACCCTGAGCCCTGACTTCCCTAAACCCTGAACCCTGAACCCTAAACCCTAAACCCTAAGCCCTAAAATGCTCTACAACTTGCACCCTGACTTGAAAGAGGGATTCCGGTTTGGGATTTAGGGTTTAGAGTTTCGGGTAGGAGGGTCTGAGATTTACAGTTTAGGGTGCAAAGGAGGGTTCAGGGTTCAGGGTAGGAAGGGTCCCAGCCAGCTGAGGATTTCGACGAGATTGCGGACAGCCCGTGCCCCAGGGACGTTCGAGGGCCGTTGAGGAGCACGTTGAAGGGCCCTCAGCCCTGCCCTAAACCCTGAACCCTACACCCCGTATACCCCAACATAGACCAAACAGGCCAGTTCTCCAGAGTACTCCATACGCGAATGGGGGCTAAACCCTAAACCCTAAACCCTAAACCCAAGTCCCCAGCCTTAAGCCCTAAACCCTGAACCCAAATCTCTTCCGGAAGGTCTCTCGGGTTTGGGGCATGAGCCAAGTCTCCCAAGCCCCCCAAAACCCAGCCAACCCCCCCGCCCCTGCCCCCCCCCTCTCCCCTCTCCCCCCCCAAACAAAAGCACAACAAATTCCTGCGCAGAAGTGGTGGACCTCTGCCCTTTTCTGCTGACGCGCCGGAGGCCCAGGAAGAACGGAGTTGGTCCTGGAGCCGTGAGGTAAGAGTCTCTCCCCCCTTGGTAGCCTCCATGGGTTTAGGCTTCAGGCTTTAGGCTTTAGGCTTTAGGCTTTAGGCTTTAGGCTTTAGGCTTAGGCTGTAGGCTGTAGGCTGTAGGCTTTAGGCTTTAGGCTTTAGGCTTTAGGCTTTAGGCTTTAGGCTTTAGGCTTTAGGCTTTAGGCTTTAGGCTTTAGGCTTTAGGCTTTAGGCTTTAGGCTTTAGGCTTTAGGCTTTAGGCTTTAGGCTGTAGGCTGTAGGCTGTAGGCTTTAGGCTTTAAGGTGTGTCAGCTACTCAGTTATCTGTCAGGTCAGGTCATGTCATGTCATGCCATTCATGCATGCATCATACATACATGTACACACATGTATGCGTACATGTTTGCCGTACATAGCGTTTCTTCACGTTACCTTACCTTACATTGCATTACATTACATTACATCTCATATCAGCAAGATTTCTTGCGTGCACGTGTTCCGAGAAGCTGCGGCCTGAAATGCCCCCTCTCCTTTCCCTAAAACCATAAAATTAGGCGCAGTCGTCTGCGTGTGATCGTAGTTTGCTGAAGACTCTGCGGGGCGACCCGGAGAACTCTGTCCTCCGCCCCTTGTCCTGTTGAAGTGGTTCACATAGACGCCTCCCCCGAAAACCAGGAAATGGTCTTAAGCTGCACTCTGCCAAACCCCGAACCCGAAATCCCAAGCTTTGGCCTTAAGCCCTAAGCCCTAAGCCCTAAGCCCTAAGCCCTAAACCCTAAACGCTAAACCCTAAACACCCAATCTGGGCAGAAGGGCTCGCAGGGACATAAATTCTCAGGTGACAAGAGCGCGCAGTTTGCGGTGGCCTGCCACCTCGTGCCCCTGCCTGGAGAGGCCGGAGGGGCTTTTTCGCAGGGAGGGTTTGGGGTTTAGGGTTTAGGGTTTAGGGTTTAGGGTTTAGGGTTTAGGGTTTAGGGGTTAGCAACTGTTTTTTTTTGTTGGGCTTCTCTCACTCCCGCTGCCGCTGCATGCTTACCAAGCGGGCGAGCACCATCAGCATCAGCTGGGCGTTCAGGGTGCTGCGCCGAGCAAAACGGCAAGATACGGCAAGCACCACGAGCATCAGCTAGGTCCCGTCAGGGGCCGGTTACCGGTTCGTCGGCTTCGGTTGCGAATGAAATGAACTGTTCGTTCCTCGGTTCGGTTTCCAACAGGCGGTTCATAGGTTCGGTTCATCGATAGGGGTTGCGGGGACTGGGGAGGATGATAATGGTTCAGGCTGCATGATGGGTGGTCATGCTGAAAAGGAGGACCTGCATCTGGCCCGGTGCGGGCAGTCCAGGCAGTAACATCATTGCGGGATGCCCGTGCTGCACGACCGAAAACGGCGAGCATCATGAGCATCAGCTGGCCTGGACTGGCCAAGAGGGCGAGCATCATGGGCATCAGCCGGGCATTCCCTGTGCTGCTAACAGCCAACGCGGCGAGCATCATCAGCATCAGCTGGGCATTCCCTTGTGCTTGCAACAACCAAAGCGGCGAGCATCATGAGCATCAGCTGGGCCCTTGCAGCACTTGACCGGACACGAGGGCGGGCATCCTGAGCATCAGCTGGGCATTCGCTGTGCTGCAACAACCAAAGCGGCGAGCATCATGAGCATCAGCTGGGCCCTTGCAGCGCTTGACGGGACAAGAGGGCGAGCATCATCAGCATCAGCTGGGCATTACCTGTGCTGCAACAGCCAAAGCGGTGAGCATCATGAAGCGCTTGGCTGGACACGAGGGCGAGCATCATGAGCATCAGCTGGGCCCTTGCAGCGCTTGACCGGACATGAGGGCGAGCATCATCTGCATCAGCTGGGCATTTCCTGGGCTGCCACACAAAGCGGCGAGCATCATGAGCATCAGCTGGGCCCTTGCAGCGCTTGACCGGACACGAGGGCGAGCATCATCAGCGTCAGCTGGGCATTCCCTGTGCTGCGACAACCAAAGCGGCAAGCATCACGAGCATTGGCTGGGCCCTCGAAGCGCTTGACCGGACACGAGGGCGAGCATCATCAGCGTCAGCTGGGCATTCCCTGTGCTGCGACAACCAAACCGGCGAGCATCACGAGCATTAGCTGGGCCCTCGCAGAGCTTGACCGGACACGAGGGCGAGCATCATCAGCATCAGCTGGGCATTCCCTGTGCTGCGACAACCAAAAGCGGCGAGCATCACGAGCATTAGCTGGGCCCTCGCAGCGCTTGACCGGACACGAGGGCGAGCATCATCAGCAGCAGCTGGGCATTCCCTGTGCTGCGACAACCAAAGCGGCGAGCATCACGAGCATTAGCTGGGCCCTCGCAGAGCTTGACCGGACACGCGGGCGACCATCATCAGCATCAGCTGGGCATTCCCTGTGCTGCGACAACCAAAGCGGCGAGCATCACGAGCATAAGCTGGGCCCTCGCAGCGCTTGACCGGACACGAGGGCGAGCATCATCAGCATCAGCTGGGCATTCCCTGTGCTGCGACAACCAAATCGGCGAGCATCACGAGCATTAGCTGGGCCCTCGCAGCGCTTGACCGGACACGATGGCGAGCATCATCAGCATCAGCTGGGCATTCCCTGTGCTGCGACAACCAAAGCGGCGAGAATCACGAGGGCGAGCATCATCAGCATCAGCTGGGCATTCCCTGTGCTGCGACAACCAAAGCGGCGAGCATCACGGGCATTAGCTGGGCCCTCGCAGCACTTGACCGGACACGAGGGCGAGCATCATCAGCATCAGCTGGGCATTCCTTGTGCTGTGACAACCAAAGCGGCGAGCATCACGAGCATTAGCTGGGCCCTCGCAGCGCTTGACCGGACACGAGGGCGAGCATCATCAGCATCAGCTGGGCATTCCCTGTGCTGCGACAACCAAAGCGGCGAGCATCACGAGCATTAGCTGGGCCCTCGCAGCGCTTGACCGGACACGAGGGCGAGCATCATCAGCATCAGCTGGGCATTCCCTGTGCTGCGACAACCAAAGCGGCGAGCATCACGAGTATTAGCTGGGCCCTCGCAGCTTGACCGGACACGAGGGCGAGCATCATCAGCATCAGCTGGGCATTCCCTGTGCTGCGACAACCAAAGCGGCGAGCATCACGAGCATTAGCTGGGCCTTCGAAGCGCTTGACCGGGCACGAGGGCGAGCATCATCAGCATCAGCTGGGCATTCCCTGTGCTGCGACAAGCAAAGCGGCGAGCATCACGAGCATTAGCTGGGCCCTCGCAGCGCTTGACCGGACACGAGGGCGAGCATCATCAGCATCAGCTGGGCATTCCCTGTGCTGCGACAACCAAAGCGGCGAGCATCACGAGCATTAGCTGGGCCCTCGCAGCGCTCGACCGGACACTAGGGCGAGCATCATCAGCATCAGCTGGGCATTAAGCGGCGAGCATCACGAGCATTAGCTGGGCCCTCGCAGCGCTTGACCGGACACGAGGGCGAGCATCATCAGCATCAGCTGGGCATTAAGCGGCGAGCATCACGAGCATTAGCGGCCCTCGCAGCGCTTGACTGGACACGAGGGCAAGCATCATCAGCATCAGCTGGGCATTCCCTGTGCTGCGACAACCACAGCGGCGAGCATCACGAGCATTAGCTGGGCCCTCGCAGTGCTTCACTGGCCAAGTTGGCTCACGGAGGATTCGACCCTAAACCCTCAACCCTAAACCCTAAACCCTAAGCCCTAAACCCTAAACCCTAAACCCTAAACCCTAAACCCTGAACCCTAAACCCTAAACCCTAAACCCTAAACGCGGGGACCGCACAAGCTGAAAGCTGAAGTGGGGACGGCTCGGGGATGGGCACACGAGTCGTTGCTCGACCCCAACTCCATAAGCTTGGCGTCAGAATTTTGGGGTTTGCAGGAATTAGGGTTTCGGGCTTAGGGTTCAGTTTTTAGGATTGAGGGTTCCGGGAATGTTTAGAGTTTAGGGTGTAGGGTTTGGGTTCCCTAAACCCCTAAACCCCGAAAACCCTTAAACCCCTGAACCCCGAAACCCCTAAGCCCCTAAGCCTCTGAGCCCCTGAGGATTTAGGGTTCAGGGAAGGTCCGGAAACCCCTAAACCCTGAACCCCGAAACCCCTGAGCCCCCTGAATCCTGAAGCCCCGGACGTCTGCCAGGTGGTGTCCATCTACATCTACGCCTGCGAGCTGCACAACTTGGGCCAGATGCAGCTCAAAGAGGAAAACGTTGCAGCATTGAGTTTAGGGCTTAGGGTTTAGGGTTTGGGGTTTCGGGGTTTAGGGTTTAGGGAGTTTGGGGTTTAGGATTCAGGGTTTAGGGTTTAGGCGCTTATTCCTCTCTGTTTTCGTTTCTCGTTTTCGGCATTGCGGTTTTCCTTCCTTCCTTTCTTCCTATCTTGGGCATGGAGCAAAACCCCTGTCACATGGCCTGTCAGACCTGTTGCGCACCTACTCTACAACTTGTAGGCTACCCAAATGGGAGCATACATAGTCCCTCTAACCCTAACCCTAAACCTAAACCCGCCTAAACCCTAAACCCTAAACCCTAAACCCTAAACCCTAAACCCTAAACCCTAAACCCTAAACCCTAAACCCTAAACCCTAAACCCTAAACCCTAAACCCTAAACCCTAAACCCTAAACCCTAAACCCTAAACTCCCAAACCCCAAGCCCTAAATCGTTTGTTTGGGGGGGTTTTAAGCCCTGACTTTGGGTCGAACTTCCTGTTTTGCTGCGGCCCATAAGCTCCACCGATTCGTAGCATCTGCCAAGAGGAACCCTTGCCTTAAGCTCTAAGCTTGACTCCAAGCCCTAAACCCTGAACCCTGAACCCTCGTAAGCCCCCATGTGTCTGCTTCTCTTTGCTAAGCCCTAGGGCCCTGAGCCCTAGCTGACTCGCGACGTTCAGTCGAACTGTTGCGGCACACTGGGCATGTTGCTCATGTACATCAGAGCCTGGCCCTCTCTGCGCCTCCTGAGGATGTCCTGCTAAGCTGAATATTTTCCGAGCGTCGGCAGTGACGACCTTGGATCGATAGGCCTGAAGGAGGTGGATTCGGGGCCGGCTATGCTTCTGTTCAACGTAGGCGCACTTGGTGTCATGAAGATGTGCGCGCGCGGTGTTGACTGGCGCGTTTTGCAGCTTTTGCGGCTGTACCGGTTGGACCTTGCAGTTGCCACGTTGAGCATGTGTACTCCGTCCTCTAATGATGTGTGTTTAAGCTGAATATTTTCCAAGCGTCCGCAGTGACGACCTTGGATCGATAGGCCTGAAGGAGGCGGACTCTGCGCAACACAGGCGCACTTGCTTCAGCTGCTGTGGCTGTGTCATGAAGAGGCGCGCGCTCGCGTCGTTGGCTTGCTTTTTGCGACTAATCATACCTGTCGGGCTTGGACCTTGCAGTTGCCAAGTTGAGCATGTGCATCCTCGAATGATGTGTCTTAAAGCTGAATATTTTCCGAGCGTCCGCAGTGACGACCTCGGATCGATAGGCCTGAAGAGAATCTCATGGTTTTCCCAAGTTGAAAAGGGGCTGCAGAGTTGCCACGAAGGCTACGAAGCCTGGAGGCTTCAACGCGGCCTCTAACCCCAAACCCTAAACCCTGAACCCTAAACCCTAAACCCTGAACCCTGAACTTTGAACCCTGAACCCTGAACCCTGAACCCTGAACCCTGAACCCTGAAACCCTAAACCCTAAACGGCCCTAAACCCTAAATCCTAAACCCTGCCAAAAAAGACCGAAGCCATTGACCCTGGGCCCTTGCAACCCAAGCCCGCATTTGGGTTGCCGAACAGATGCCTTGATATGCCTTGCTACCTTTCGAGGCGCAACCCTTAAAGTTCTTAAAAGGAGGGTTTAGGGTTTCGGGGATCAGGGTTTAGAGCTTAGAGCCCTGAAATCCTCCGTAACCTCGAGATAGGGGGGGGTCACGACATCCGGGGTAGGGGTACCTAGAAACCAGTAGCGCGCAACCCAGTTGGAGTTTCATGCTTACTTTGCAATTGTAGGGTTTTTTTTTGTCAGTAAGTTCAGCTCCAGAACCCTATTACCTATGTCATGCACTAAGCAAGGGTCCAAGTAGGTGCCTCAAAAGCTTGCCGCCTCAAGCCCCCCCCCCCCCCAAGACCCTAAACCCTCCCCCCAAACCCGACTCTACCCCAAAACCCAAAACACCAA